CCAATTGATTGCATATTGTGTAGGATCCGTAAAATGCCCAGTACCCTATTTGGGGTACATCTTACTCAGGATGTTGCTTAAAACTATATGCCTAGTTGACAATTTCATGGCTGCATCTGTACTTTTTGCTTATCAGAGACAAAAGTACCAGTTCAGGGTTGCTTGTCCTGTGTTCTTGACATGGTCTTGTGTACGATGCTTAATCTGCATTGTGATGCAAAACAATTCCTGACTCTTGGGCACACCAGATTTGAGACAGGCCAGAAATCTGCACTTTGGACAAGGCAAACATCAACATTTATTGCCAAGGCAGAGTAGTCTAGGCTCCCCTACCGGCAGAGATGGTGGGGCAGGAACCAGTGTTTCTGAAACTGAAGGTCCTGACCCTAAAGAGAGTTGTAGAGGGTCACAAGGTCATTTTGGGGCTGTGGGAGGATTGCAGTATTTCCATCCTTACTTCTGCTTTCAGAGCTGGGATACTGAAGAGTTCTGGTTGTTAGTCTGATGCCCAGCTGTAAAGCAGTGCCTCGTCAGAAGCAGTGCAGATGTAAGGGTGGCAATACCATACTGTACCACCCTTCCTTTTGCACTGGTCTTGGTGGTGTCTGTCTTCAAAGCTGAAATCCTGGCCTCCAGTTGCCCAGTTCTGTAGGCAGAACAACCACCTGCAGCCGTGCTGAAGTAAGGGTAGCAGTACTGCAACATACCCTACAATAAACTTGTAACCACCACTCCCCACACCTTTTTTGATTGAGGACCTCTACATTTACAACATGATGAAATTTCAGATTTAAATATCTGAAAATCACGAAATTTGTTTTTTAAAATCCTAAGACCATGACATTTGCCAAAATGGACCATGAATTTGGTATATGTGTGTCAAGATTTGAAAGGGAGAGGGAATGCTTTAAAAACAGTCAAGAACTATACAAATATGAAAAAAGCCTGTGCTCCATTATTTCTCTACTGTGAAAGCAAACACATTTTGACTTTCATTACGTTTGACTGAATGGTTGACGTTTTGACTGTAGCTTTAGAAAACATAAAATCTAATTAGTGCCACCAATTTAGCCAAGTTCGGTACATCTCTTTCAATACATAATTTATCAGCTAATTCAAAGAGAACTTCTGAGGAGATCCATTATTCTGATATAAATTTTCCATCACAAATTACACGCTCATAGGCCTCAGTAGAAAATATTTTGAAAAAAGCAGTTAATCTTAGACCATTTCTTGTATCAAAATCAAGATGTCTTGATTACAAAGGAAAAACATCTGGATTATACAAGATGGTGGCAGTCATCCTTTTAAGGCAAAAGTCAACCAGGTTGGTGCAATAATATACCATGCTGTCAGAGGTATGCCAGTCTGATGATACAAAATTCATAGTTTGTCCACTTACAATCCTTAAATGTCTTTTAGCAGTTTTTGGAAGGAGGGAAAGTATTTACTACTGTAGCCTAGTCAAAATTTAATTTGGGTTATTGTATTCAACCTACCTAAATCCCACCACAATTTAAATTCTATTAGGAAAATGTATGCATGCTTTACTTGGAGGTTTCTCTTTAGAGAATGAGGCCTTTCTATCCAGCCCCCATAATGGGCTGTTAATTTGGGAAATAGTTTGGATTACTGATGGTACTCAATTCTCTGTGGAAGTATTGCTGCTATTTACTCATCGTGCTTAATTTAAGATTGCTTGCCAAAATACAGTGGTTAGAGATTTTCTTCGCTGCAAATATCACATGCAGTGAGCTTTTCAAAGGTGGAGCTGTTCTTCCCCTTGCTATTGATTGGCAGGTCTGGTCTGCCTCCTAGATGGTTTATAGCAGAGACTGAAAAACCATTTTCTTAGGCTTTGTCTGCGCTACCAAGTTTTGTTACCACAACTAGGGTTGTCAGATGGTCTCCCAAAAAATACCGGACATCCGGTATTTTTTGCTCGGGGTGGGGGGGAATAAAAACCGTGGGATAAGTGGCGATCACAACCAGCTGGGAGGTGGGGCCGCAAACGCTGCTGGGAGCCTGTGATTGCGCAGAAGCCTGGTGGGGGCAGGGCTGCCAATGTCAGGCTTCTGTCTGGTGCTCAGCCAGAAAAATCAGACAATACCGGACACTGCACGTGTCCGGTATTGTCTGATTTATTTATTTTTTTTACTGGGCAAAGGGCTCAAATACCGGATTGTCCGGTAGGATACCAGACACCTGGCAACCCTAACCACAACGTATACACTCCAATGCAACTTTTGTCAGGAAAAATGCCTAATTTGGTGACACAAACTTCCACCCAATAAGAGACTTTTTTTTTCTTTCCCCCTCCCTTTATTTTTGACAAAGAGCCAGTGTAGATGCTGCTGCTTGCTTTGTGGTCAGAACTGACTTCTGCCCATATCCCACAATGCCTGCCCTGATCTCTCTGCTCAGTGTTTTGATTTCTGCTGTCCTGCAGGCATATGCCTTTCCCCTTTACTAGCTCCAGGAAGTGTCTGACAGTTGAATGAGCTGCTTTCTTTGGGGAACAAAGAACAGTCAGTCATAGGAATACTCCTGTTCTGCCCTGCACTAGGAACACAGCCACAGTCAGACTGCTGCTGCAAGGGTAGAGAGAGAGATTGCTGGGCTGCTTTGACATTCCTCGGCAGGAAGAGCTCATAGAGCTGCTCATATGATGCCCAGCAGCTGAAGAGGCTGTAGGACAGGGGTGGGAAACCTTTTTTGGGGTCAGGGATTCAGTCTGCAGGAGGGAGCTGCTGGAGCGTGGGGTGGCAGTCTAAGAGAGAGGTAGGATGCAGGAGTGGGGTAGGGATGTCTATCAGGGATGGTCTAGACAGTATTTGGTCCTGCCATGAGGGCAGGGGACTGGACTCGATAACCTGTCGAGGTCCCTTCCATTCCTAGTATTCTATGATTCTATGTGGGGCCTGAATGGCAGGGGAGCGTGGGAGGAGTCAAGGGATTGTGACCCCTGCCTAGTGCAGCTCTTTCAATAGAGGGCACAGGTATGAACACTTTCTGGTTATTTTTGTTTTGTTTAGTTTGGTCGACTTTTGGGTATCAGCATAACATAAGTTTTGGCAACAAAATTGGTTAGTGCAAACATAGCCTTAGACTTCATTCTCCAACTGCTGGGTTAAATTGCTGTTCATGTTCAGTAGTCGGTGTCTTCCCAACCCCTGTTCGTGGAACAGTTCTCTTAGACGAAAGGTACTAAAGAAATACCTACCATTGCATGTAGGTATTATTTTACAGCACTCTCCGCTATTTTACATGCTTCAAAAATACCCATTAAAACAGGTCAATACAATGAAAATGATAGACCAAAGAGGAAGTATGGGAAGAATAAGACTGAAACGCAACTCATTTTTTACATCTGTGTATGTCTGGTTGTGTGCCATTTGGATGTTTTTTGTTGGTGTTTGTCATTATATGAATAGTTTCTGCTGGTATTACCGCAGTAAATGAGTTTCAATAGAGAGGAGGAATCTTTGTCATAGCATATGTGACCAGGATTCATCCCTGAATCTGAGTAATTAGGTTCCCTGGACTATATATTAACAGGGAGTGGAACATGATTGCTGATACATGTCCCTCCAAAGAGGGAGTCATATGAATGAGATGATAATGGAGGTTTGTTGAAAGGCACTTATAGGGTTCTTATTCTGACCATAGGTACTATTTATTGGAGAGTTAGGGAACCACTGCTGTGTTTGAGAGGTATTCATTTGGCAACCATACCATTTGTCCAACACCTCAGCTGAGATGTCACATCCAGCTGAGCTGGGGGAAGACAGCAGGCATGTGTCTTCAGTTCTGTCTTCTGCTAGCTACTGCACACGGGCAACCAGAGATGCTCCTCCTTTGCTGCTCTCCTTGTTTGCTCAGAAACAGGATCAAGTGGCTGGGAAAGGACAGTGGATGTCAGAACAAGCCCCATGCTCTCCCCTGAGCCTAAGATGGCTGTATCAGCCCTTCTGCTGCCCCCTTCCCTCCCTCTGACTCAGTACGTGGCTCCAAAGTTGACTTAATGATATACTTTTGAGACGGTACTTGGCAATCCTAGGTACTATCTTTAAGAATTAATTTTATTTTTTATCCATTGTTGTAACCTGAAAAGACAATTAACTTTCCTACCAAACTTGCTGATGTTCATTACCACAGGTTGGACCTCCCTGGTCCGGCCCCTTCGGCCCCTGACTAGTCCAAGATGAGGGATTGTGCGGGATCAGGGAGGTCATTTCTGTCCCCTTGCTGCTGGCCCCACCACCTGCTCTGCTGCCCTACCGGGCTTCCCAGTTCCCCAGGTAGCCTGGCTGAGTCGTACACTAGGCTTCCTGTCCTCCCACTCAAGCTTTCCCCCAGCACAGCCGAGTCATGAACCAGGCTCCCAACTCCCCTAGACAGCCCAGCTGGATTGCACACACTGGGCTCCCATTCCACCCCTTGCATCATACTGTGCTTCCAGCTCCTTCACTCCCTGTATCCGGCTTGGACTCTCTGATCCTGGAACATCCATTGTCTGACCCAGAGAGTTCTGGTTTATAGATATGCAGCCTTTACTATTTACTGAGCTCTAACAGTGTACTCAGCACTGTTCAAACATGGGCTGATCCTTCATGCATGCAAAAAGTCCTGCTAGGCCTAATTGTCCTCTTACCAGCAGCTTAACTCCCCTGAGCTGAGTGGAAATAATCTTGTCACTGTGGTAAGAATCATACCTATGGATTTCAGTGAGGCTACTTGCATGTCTAAGGGCTTTCGGATCAGACCCATGCTGTTCAGATAATATTTTGAAAAGTGCTTATTTAGTTTCAAGTTTAACAGGAGTTGTAAAAATTACTTTATGCCCCAGCATTTTGTCCATTTCTGCTGGACTGCAGAACTACAGTATTGTTTCTTCATTGAGTTTGGACAGTGATTCCGAAATTCAAAGGAATAGGGTTAGTATCTGCCAAAAGTGTCAATCAATATTATAGCTATGTTCTGTTGGTTTTTCTCTTCAGATCTCATTAATGGAGCCCAGGAACAGTGTGAATTGCCTCCTATGGATGGCTTCCCTCATTGTGAGGGCAAAATAAAGGTAAGTGTGGTCTGAGATGGCTGGATCACAGAAATCCCCCTTGGGTTGTTCCCCGGTGTGCTGATCAAGTCACTGATGCCCACCTTCTTGCCCACCTGCACCGCAGAGAAATACAGATGCTGAACTAATTCAACTCTGGGAGGGCTCAGCTCCCAGAGCACTGAGCACCCTAAAGCCACTGACAGCACTCAGGGACCCACCCCCAAAAGGGAACCAAACCCCAAATAAATCTCTGACCTTGTATAAAAAGTTTACCCAGAGAAAGCTCATAAAGATGTTCACCCTCATTATTAATGAAAGAGAGATATGCACAGAGATTGCTTCCCCCCAGGAAACCATTACTATATATTGAAAATAAAAGTGGTTTTATTAAATATAAAAAGTAGGATTTCATTCATTCCAAGTGAAAACAGATCAAAGTAAATTACTGAACCAAAAAAAAATCCACACCAGCTAATTCCAACACACTAAGATACTTGTTACATGCAAATTATTACCTATAACAGTTATCTCAGGCCCAAATTGATGTATTTCTGACTTTCACTGCAATTCTTTATTTCCAGGTCTTCTCATTTGTATCTTCTGGGGGAAGGGGAATTTCAAAAGCCAGCTGAAGACAAAAGACTTGTCTATTTAAGGAATGTAAAGCAGACTTTCCCCTGAGACAGAAATCCTTTGTTCAGGCTCCCCATTCCCTGGAAAAATAGTGGAATAATGATGGATTCCAGTACCAACTGGCATGATCACATGTCTCTCTAGGACCAATCATAGTTTGGGCTTACAGAAAAAATAAAATCATTCATACTGTTGGTTTGAGTATTGAGCCATTAAATTTCTAAAGTATCACTAGTGGCCCTCATTAGCACATTTAGAATTAAAAACAGGTTCACACTTTTCATATTCCTGATTTCACATGCTAGAATGATACATGCACAGAAATAGGATATACAGATTCAGCAGACTGTAATTCTAAAAATGTTACATGACCTGTTTTGCATAAAGCATCTTTGAGGCTACAGTTAGACTAGTGGGTTTTTCCAGGATACTCGAGGTATACCAGGAAAATTCCACCACGTCCAGGGAACGCGTTTGCTCGTCCACTTCATTTGCAAAAAAGCAAACACCCTCTTTCAGGGGCCCTCTTTCTAGATGGGGCCAAATGGCGGAAAAGCCTCTTCCAGAAAAGCAATTGTAAAAAGCTACACAAATTGCGCAATTTGTGTAGCTTTTTCCGGTAAAAGGGTGTAGTCTAGAGCCATCCTGAGTTGCACATATTCATATCCATAAGCCAATTCTCATGAAGCATGGGGATCCATGACATGGTCCTCTGTTAATCTCTGCATTAATGTTGTCTTAAATCATGTATCTTGAAAGAGGCCATTGCTATTGAAGATTTATAGACGTAAGCAATTGAGGTTAACTTGAAGAATTCACAGAAAACAAGTACAGACAATTGCATATCTGGCACTCTATACCTGAAACCACTATAGTATAACTGTTTGGAAGAAAAGGGATAAAACAACACATAATCCCTAAGTATTTTGGGTGCTTATTATATATCTTGATATTCTGTAACTTAATAGTTTGACTACATATCAGATGAAATTTAAAAATATTTAGGCCCCAGTCCTACATGTGAATAATCATATGCATGTGAATAATACTATTGAACTTTGTGCACAACCAGAGCTGTAGATGGTAAACACATTGGGCCAAGATCCTTGCCCTGCTTTGTTGGATATATCTATACGTATTTAATTAGCAAATACTGAAAACGTTCAATTTCTTACTCCAACTAAAAAACATTTAAAAAATGTTAGTGATAGATATTTTCTGGTAGAATTTTTTTCATTTCTTAAAAAAATTGTAATTTTAAGGGCTGATAAATTGACTAGTGATTTTAAAAATGCAAATTCCTCTTGCTTGATACATAAAAATGAATATGATTGTGCAATTTCCAAAACTATTTCAGATATGGATTCTATTATTTATATATTAAGATATTTTATATAGAGAGAGAGAGAATCTGAGATTTTTAAAAACTGTCTGCTAAATCAATAAAAGTACAGTAAAACTCCATTGGTCCAGCATCCAATGTTCCGGCACTTCTGATGGTCTGGCACCATCGGGAACCTGGAAGTGCTCCAGGCAGCCGGACAATTGGAGCTGCTCTGTACCCGGCTTCCCTGATTCAGCCTCTGCTGAAACTATAGAGAGAGAGAGAATCTGAGATTTTTAAAAACTGTCTGCTAAATCAATAAAAGTACAGTAAAACTCCATTGGTCCAGCATCCAATGTTCCGGCACTTCTGATGGTCTGGCACCATCGGGAACCTGGAAGTGCTCCAGGCAGCCGGACAATTGGAGCTGCTCTGTACCCGGCTTCCCTGATTCAGCCTCTGCTGAAAC